CACTATATGAGAAAAAAATTTTAAGAAAAGCAACAGACATGTTATGAGATGGTTAAAAAATTCCCCAGCTATGAAAAGGTTTTTAAATTCATTCAAGGATTTATTACAACAGATTTTTGCAATAGCACCATGACAGACACTACGGGTCTAACAACAAACAATACGTTAAAGGCCCCTGTTCTTTCAGAACATGTATAACCAAAGTATGGCTTCTGGAGGGGGTGGGCTGTCAATACGATGGGATTCATTATATTGTAATTATGTTGTTAACTCGATGGCAGTGAGTTTGAGTTTTTCTGAGCAAGATCAAGAGAGAGAGAGAGAGAGAGAATTCACATGTATTATTTTATGATAGTGCGCAAAAAACTGACTGCGAGTTACTCAAATAGGTGATTATACTATGTGTTTTAGTCTTAACTCAAACACACCACTAGGTCAATTCTGATTCACAGCAACCCCATGTGATGGTGTATAACTATCTATTTGGGTTTCTGAAGCTGTGCATCTTTATAAGGGTAGAAAAATCTTTCTTCCTCAGAATGGCTGGCGAAGCCAAACTGCTGATTTTGCTGGTAGCAGTTTAATGCATAAACTAAAATACCACCAAGCCTCCTTAAGTAAGCTCAAAGGCAAGACAAGACACCACAAACACTGGTGCTGGACATACTCAATAGAAGTAAGAGCTGTAGCACGGACAGAGATATATACCCTCTCATGGTCATTGCAACACACTTAACAATAACAAAAAGGGAAACAGCCCAAAAGCCCATCAGTAGAAGAATGGATAAAACAACGTTGGTACTGTGTTAGTCTGGGGAGACTAGAGAAACAAATCCATAGACACGCATGTGTATATAAGAAAGAGCTTTATAGACAAGAGCGTTTGAACATTAAGAAAACAACCAGCTCAGTCCAGATCAAGTCCACAAGTCCCATATTAGACCATATGTCTGATACCAATCCATAAAGTCCTCTTCAGACTCACACAGCATATGCAATGACTCTGAATGGAGGAAGATCACAGTCCACTGGGCGGGATGTATTGTGGATCCAGTGGCATTATAATCATCTCAGTGCTGGCAGGGGTCTCCATGTGGTTTCTCTGGCTCCAGAGGCCTGGCTCCAGTGGTCTCTCTCCATGTGTTTTCTCCACAGGGATGTCTCACAGGGAGTGAGCTTGTGTATCGCTTCCAGTCAGCTATTTATCTCCTTAGCGCCTCCGAATGAGGTCATCAAGCTACTACCTGATTGACAGGCTAGGCTCCACCCCTTCACTCTGAGCCCTGAAATTGACACTAGATTATGTAACGACCAAAGGTACCTACACACAATGGAATATTAAACTCATATGCATTACTAAAACACAAAGATGAAACCAATTAGTACCTCCCGACAAGAGGGGACCTTGAAAACATGCTAAGCAAAGTTAGTCAATCCCAAAAGGACAAAAATCATATGAGACTATTACTATAAGAGCAAATACCAAGGCAAAGGCTGGCATGCCAAAGGGAATAGATCTTCAGAGCTTCCCAAGGGCGGGAGGGCAAGTGTGGGAAGATGAACCAACAGACTAGAAGGTTGACAGGTAGAGACTTGGGTGTAATGGAGGACAGGGCATAAGAAGGAGTGTGTGTGGGGAGGGGGGGGGAGACCAGTGGGGGAGTGGGGAGCACGTGGGGGTGTAAGGCAACGAGTGGTTTGAAATGTTGAATGCACAGTCAACAGTCTGCAATGTAAACCCCTCCATTTAATCGCTAATTTAAAATAATAACAGTATTGGTGCTCTGGAAACATTTTAAACTGGACACAAAGGCTCCTGGCACACCAACATGTACCAAAACAATACAAAAGCATCAGAGAGCTACTGCTTAACCTGAAGACATCAGCTACCTTTTTTGTGAATGGCGTGTGGCAGCCAATGGAAGACAGCCTTTATGAATTCAGGAAGAAGAGATGGATATCTGCTACAGAAGAGATGGGTATCTGCACTGATTCATACTCTCAGAAACCGTAGAGAGCAGTTCCATTCTGTTCTATAGGAATGCCAAGCGTCAGAATCAACACGGCGACAGTGGGCTTATCTCTGGCTAACATTTCTATCCGCGGTGAGTCACTGAGCAGAGGATCTTGCTAACGCACATCCAGGCTCCTGATTCATAGAAACTGTCAGATATTAAAATGCCATCATTTTAAATGTCAAATTTACCACACTTTGTTATATAGGAATAGAAAACTAACACAAGAAGTCAAACGTTGCTCTTTTCATTTCTTTTATTGCTGAAGGATTCATATATCTAACTCACTACTAGACTTAACATACCTTAATACACCTTCTTCTGCCAATTTCTCGATATACCCATTGCATACTTATCCACATGGCTAGGCTGCAAAAACCAGGTCACTATGCAAAACTTAGTATTTATCTTAGGGAACTTAGAAAAAGTTTATGGATAAATTGAATTAAAAGATAATGGCATTTTCCCCACAAACTTAAAAATCATAGCACACAGGAACAGAGGAGCTAGTTATTTTAAGAGGAATACGATCTAAATAAGTGAGACCCACACTATTTGATAGTGGTGATCACGGGTAAGACACGAGTATGGCGGATATGAAGCCTTACTTGAGAGCATTGCAAAAGTGTTGAAACTGAAAATTTATCGAGCAAAGCAGAGAGCGATGAACTTAGGACTGTCTGTCCCTCGCATTTCACCATCAGACGACAAAAATACTCCGTTCAACACAACCATTAAAAAAGTGAAGCTTTTGTGAAATCAGCTTCTTGATGCCTGAAACTAATTTTAACTCCATAACTATTGACCGAATGATGGCTATGGACCACATCCTCGGCATATAGAATGTACACTTAGGAATTTGTACTTATTGAATGTATACTTATGGAATTTTATTTCCATAAATATTGACGGAATGACTATGGACCATGTCCTGAGCACACAGAATGCATACTTAGGACTGCCTAAGTAAATAAATGTGGAATTCATGAAAATGGAAATGAATAATGGATTAAACACATTGCACAGCTGAAGCAGAATGAAGAGTTAATGTTTCAAGGAGTGGATAAAAGAAGGGAAAGTTTCATATAGCAATAACTACTTCTGAGCTTTGGTTTATGGGTAAAAAGAGATAAGGCATGTTGAAACATTTTTTGTATCGTATTAGTTTTTATCATTTGGTGGAAGAATTTTGGAATGTGCACAGTTTGTGACATTCTTCTTTTTAGGTCCTATTATTACAATATCTCATGAGGCTGTTAATTACTCTACATGTGGGTTTAAGAAATATAAATTGATCCCTATTGTGCATTAACAATGGGGGCACTTTATTTCAAAAGCTGGCCTGAAAATAAATGTATATTTTATTTGAACAAATAAGTTAGCTCGATGCCTCAGAATAAGGGAGAATAATGGGAAATGAAGTATGTTTTACAGTCTTTTATATTTTTTGCCTCTAACTGGGCATGAGTGTAATTAAGTGAGTAGTAATTACTGGCAAATCAACAAGAAGAAGATTGAATGCTGGACTAGAGGAAGAACCTGCCTGTCGTGAATGATAAGACAGTCAGAAAACATTAGTATTTAAGTATCCTTTAATTTTTTTTCACAAACCAATTACTCAGGATTTTATGGTCCAGGAAGATTCAATAGTTTGTCTATCTTAAATAAGGGCAGTATTGCCCTTTAAAACACTCCTCTGTTAGAGCAAGGGTGAGTAAACTCTTGGGCTGGAAGGGCCAATCATGTTCTTAACAACAATTTAAAAATTATTCAAGAGCAATAAATATATATTTTACAACCGATTGAAATCACTCTCATTGGAATGATATCCTTTAAATGAACCTATGATAGTTTTACTTTTACTTCCATTTTACTTCAGAGCCACATCTCCATTCTGAAAGACCATGTATGGCTTGCAAGTTTGCTGACCCCTGCGGGAGCGCCAACTCAAAAAGGGTTCAGTGGAACAGCCATTGCCAACCACAGTCCCTGACACAAAGTGTAATACAATAACATTTTGACTTTTTTATTTGTCTCTAATTCTTTATTTATATTAAATTACCTGTTGTACATATAAAGGCCCTTTTTATGTGTAAAACAAGACTACAATTTATTTCAATTATAAAAATAATATTACATTCCAAAGTGTTGAGTTCAGTTCAGGACAGCTTCCCTGTTCTGTTAATTAAACTTTGGGACATTAAAACAGGCTTTGGAAAATAACTTGGTAGAAAATATTATTCTATTCACTTTGTTCCCAGCCTGCATTTTAGAGAAAAAAAAATTACAGATTTAAATGATGTTAGGATGGTGCAGAACTGGAGTTCTGTTGAATATGGGGTCACTGTGAGTCAGAAAAAGCTGGATGGTACCTTACAACAACAGCATTATGTGTGACAGAAGATGTAGCACGGCTCGGTTCAATATTTGACAAATGCAGAGTGATTATAAGTTCAGCCTTCTCTGCTCTCCGACACATAGATGAGGTGTCTGTGAGGCAAGCGTAGTTGGGAGATGGCTAGGTCAAATGTCTCAGCTAGTGAGGTCTCCAATAGTTTTAGAAGATTCTTTTCTTTCCCAAAATCAAGGGTTAGAGAAAGAGGGTTACAGAGAGGTGGTCTCTCATTTTATTGATATTTTTCTTCCTTTTATTTCCCGTCATTAAGTAATTTAGGACTGGCATCAAGCCACCGTTCAGCAGCTGGAGTTAGCAGCCCAAATGGAATGTAGATTGGGAAGGAAAGACAAAAATTGTTGGGAAGGCAAATTCCTTTATTAACCTAAGTGTATTGATTATCTCTTTATCAGGTTCTCAAAGTGCCAATCAGAAATATGTTATAAATCCCATTAAATGCTGCAGCAAAATTGCTGCATAAATTATAATCATGTGGAGCAACTTAAAAATTTCCCTGCCAAACATAATATTTATTTTGATGATAACCTATCTAATTTTTGTTAAATGCCCTAGAATACTCAAAGCATAATGTACAATATGACTTATTTAAAAGTTAATTTTTTGAACTATTTTATTCCAACCTCAGAACATTTTGGAAGTAGTTTATTACAACTCACAAGCTGATTAATGACAATACAAGTTTGTAAAACAGTAGCACAACAGTATATACCATAGAACTCTTTATCTGTACCTGTCGACTATATAAAAAGGCACTCTGGTGACACAGTGGGTAAGGGCTTCACTGATAACCAAAAGGTGGATGGTTCACATCCACCCAAGGCTTTGAAGGGGATATATGAGGCAATCAACTTCTGGAAAATTACAACATGGTTACCTTGTTGTGTCCTGTAGCATAGCTATGATGTGGAATAGACTAGATTTCCATGGGTTTGCTATATACTAGGATTGCAATAATAAGGAAAGCACAAATATTTTGAGTAATATACTTTACAAAAAGGATTGGTAATCTCTTCATGAGGATGACCATCAAGCAGGACCACGTCATGATGGATGCCCTTACTCTAAGCCATGGAGAGTCGATGTGGGCTGATGCAGTCAGGTTCAAATGCTACACCATCATCATTGTAGCTCCCTTTGGACCCATTCAAAAGTTGTTTCAGTTTATATTGTTTTTCGCTTGATCTTCCATCTAGGTTTTTCTCTTTTGGTCTCATAGTTGTTGTATGATTTCCTGTACATAAAATCCAGGATAGGTTAGGCTACAGAATATAGTAACTGGATTAGTAATTTCATAGGGCCAGGGAAGGGCAGGTTGGGGGGAAATGGAAAGCTAACAAAATGAGTACCAGAAAGAAGGAAGTATTCTGAAATTGATTCTTGTGATGATTACACAACTCCTCTTCATATGATTCAACTATTGAATTGTACTATATGCAAAATATGTGTCACTAAAACTATTTTTTAAGTACTCAAATAATGGCATAATCTGTATTCTTTTTCTTTCCTTGTCTTTTCTTCATTTTGCATTGGTCTTCGATGTTCCAATTAGGTTGGCGAGCCACTGGATTTTGTTTTTAACTGTCTTGCTAATGAACAAAAATTGGACAAATCCATTTGTATAAACAGCTTTGGAAATACAGTATCTCCATTTGAAACCAATGGTACAGTAAAAATGATGTCCCACTTTGTGGCAAATATTAGGTAGGAGGCCCACTTAAAAGATTGGGAATTTTAAAACGCAGGTTCCCTTTCAGGGACACCAACTCATTGGGCCATTTCACATTGTTTTGTGGCGTACAGGGTGTCCTGGTCTCAGAGGTTTATATGATGCTAGTTCAAACAATCTGTTTCTGGGAAGGTTTACAGCCTCAGAAGCCCGATGTGGCAATTCCACTCTTCTCCTCTAGGGTTATTATGAGCCTTTGGCTTGTGTCATTAGGGGGGCAAGTTGGGGAAGGAGAACTGACTGGCCTTTGTAGCTCTCCCTGTTTGCTGTGCCTTGTTTAATAAAACCCTTTGTCGCATGCTCAGGAGTTTCATGTCTTCTACCAGGGTCTGTGAGTCTCTGGTAGACTAGGGAAAATTCTCAGATCCTTCAGTTTGTATCACTCAACTGGACAAATAAACAACATCACGATGAAGGGAGAAATATTGAGGTTTCCAAGGATTGAATTTCATTTGGATCTACAATCATTGCACTGGGAAACCAAACTCACTGCCGTTGAGTGGATGCCAACACATTGTGGCCCTATAGGACAGGTTGCAACTGCCCCTGTGAGTTTTAAGACCATAACTCTTTATGGGAGTACATAGCCCTGGGTTCCTCTAGCTGAGAGGTTATTGGCTTTGAACTACTGTCCCTATGGTTGGTAGCCTAACATGTGACCACTGCACCACAGTTCTTGTAGTGTTTTTATATGTGTGTATTTTTTCTTTTTCATAATCGAATAAAAAAGCTGAGAAATTATTTTGTGGTATAACTTTTCATCTGGCATAATTCATTTTCAGTATTATTAATAAAGACCCATATTTATATTTCAGTAAAAGAGTATAATGAAGATACTCGACATTCAGAGAATTGAAGAACTCTGGAAGACATTTTACAAGTTTTCAATGTTTGTACTGATCATTGTGGAAACAGAGGCCCAAAATATAGAGGTAATTAAATTTTCAGAGGATGAGATATGTATTATAAGCTCAACTCTCTCTGAATACATAAAATCTCTACACTGAATTTAAATCTATTTTGTGACAGCTGTAAAAATGGCTATCTCATAGAGGAAAGCAAAGAAATCAAATTTATGCTATTCTCTGAAAAGTTACAATGCTAAATAAAGCATTGTTCTGAATTTTAAACCAAAGCATTTCCACCACTAGTGTGATTCTGGGGAAAGTGTAATTCTTTAGAATATATTTGTAAATCACCTTTCATTTCATCATGAATTGAGCCCTAGTGATACAGTGGTTAAAGTGCTTGGCTAGTAATTTTGAAATAATTTCCAAGACTAAGTGGGTAGGGTGGAACAGACAATATATATGATATATGTGTTTGATATATATGTAAACATATGGTATATACAAACCTAATGGTGTATATACATCACCCCTAATTATATTGCAAATAAGATACATGCATAAGTATCATATGTATATATATCACCACTAAACAAAATTATAATTAAAGATTTGTTGTAAATCTACATGATGCAAAAAATTCCAGACAAAAAAGTGGGGAAATTGAAGAGATAAGGAATAAAATCTGATATCAGTGATTATACATAAAACATGGAGAAGGAACATGAGATAGAGACACTAGTAAACTATGTCAAAGAAGGTCACATAGATTATTGTCAGTTTTTCATTTTACTTTCAAGTGACAAAGATTACATATCCCTCACTGGAGCTGAGTCAATCCCAACCCACAGTGACCCTGTAGGACAAGGTAGAAACTGCTCTTGTGGGGTTCCAAGACTTTAACTCTTTAAAAAATTAGGCAGTCTCATTTTTCTTTCTTGGAGATACTGGTGTGTTTTAACTAATTTTGTGGCTAGAAATTCACTATACCACCAGGTCTCAACGCATCTACAACCAAATTGAGCCATTCCCATATTGATACCTGAGTTCTATGAGACATTACAGACACCTGGGGTTTGAGGGAATATTCTCAGGGGAGGCGTGGTGGTTGATATTGATATCAGGGATAATGGATGATATATAATTGGGGACAGCTATAAGCACCTTATTGGAATTCATCTTTCTGACTTTTTCTACGTTTTAAAATTCTTTTCATGGTTGAGTAAATGACATGGGGAGGCAGACATGCCTCCACCTGCCATCTCTGTTTGCCTATTCTGACACCAATCATTCCTCCAGAGACATTTCCCTTTTAGTCCGCATTTAATAATCCATGGTAATGGCTATACAGGACACACGCACAACACTCATGGCTATGGAGATTTGCCAGGGGAGTTACCACACGTTAGGATCATAAGACATGAAGGAAAGGGTCTTTGGTCCACCGCAGCACCTCTCCTCAGCCATCAACCAAGTTTCCCTCAGTTAGTACCTTTGACTCCACCTCAGTTAGGCCAGGACCCTGCCCACTGCCCTGCCTCAGAGTGCCATAGGCTTGATGCTATTCCTCGGCTCTGTTTATAATGTCCATGCCTCTGTCCCTGGTCTCAGCATAGCCTCTGCTCTATCGGCTGGTATCCTACAGTTCCTGGCGCCTCTGGTCTTGGCCTCTGACAATTTACACAGAGATCTCAAATGAGACCTAGTGGAACTTCTGATATAATAACTGTTCTTTATAGCCGCCTGATAAGCATTACTGTATATCAATAATCTTACTCTATTGGGATCTTGGTAAACTTGAGCTTCCCAAATATTTATGAATTTTGTTGACTTATTTTGACTCACATGAGTTATTTTGGCCAATGAAATATAAATGTATGTGGCCCACAGTACTTTTTGACTCATATTTTAAAATACTGTTCTTGCTCTCCAGTTATCAGTTTTGCATCTTGCCATAGCAGTCATGGGTATGTATCACAAAAGGACTCCTGTGGCTAATGTAATTTCCCTACTGATGATGATAAAGAGATTCTACATGCCAGCTCACACGGGATAGATAAACATAACAACAAATAAAACTTTGATACAGGTAACCATGGAGATGGTTCAGTTGGTTGTAATTCTCATATGACCTAACCTAATCTAACAGATACAGATCAAACAAATCAATTTATTATATATTAAATTAAATAGAATAGAACGGCTTTGAGACTTCTTAATATTTCCCAAGCCTTTAATTTTTCTTTAAACCTGAAGTCACTACATCTAAAACCTCTCAAG